CCCAATGGGGGTGTCCCGCTGCATGGTTTTGGGCGGCCTGCTCTATTGCGCCCTCTAGCACGAATGCTCTCCAGTCCAAATATTTACCCGGGGAAACGCAAGCCCGAACAAGGCTAGCCCAATCAGAGGGAGTCATACAGTATCTAGACAGATTTTCCACCTGAGTCAGCGTGAAGGCGGCATCCACCCCATAAGTGCGTACAGACTCCGCCAGGGTCTTCACAATTTTAAAATCTAAGGGTTCATGGACTCTTCCCCTGTTGTCATCCTGAAAAACTGGATAAGCAAGACCCATCTCAGCGTGAACAGCCCTCCATGTTTGGGCATGGAAAGCTCTTCCTGAAACGCCCCCGCCATACGGCGGTGGATCCGGGGGATCGCTTTTCTTGAGCCCTTGTTTATCTGTGTTCCCTTCTCCTATAGCTAAACTCCCTAGCTGACGAGACAGCCTCCCGAGCTCTTCCTCCTCCTCCTCCTCCTCCTCTGACCCACTTTCGCATAGGGGTGTACGCAGCATACTGAGATCTGGATACAACCGTTTCCTCCCCCGTCTCATGCTCCGCACACTCCCATCCTCCCGAGTCACTTCACTTTCTGCCGTCTCCGATTTTTCCTCATGCAATCGCTCTAAAACCTCCTGTCCTTTAGTAAGTGCTTCCTGACATCTGTCATCTGTAAGGCAACCACGGACCATTTTCCAAAGGGGGATCACCCCACCCTCTAATATGCCCTGCTCAGAAGCAAAGTCAAGATCTTTGCCTAATTTATCCCAACTAGGCACAGTAAGGCTGCCCGAAAATGCAAACCACGGTGCAGCGATATCTATCTTCTGTAAAAATCTCTGTAAAGTACTATGTTTCACTTCCAGTCCCTTGGAACGTAACAGGCCATCTAGGGCCAGGAGAAGCGGACTTGAAGATGCGGCACCCATGACACAACAACAAAGAAAGCACAAAAGAAAGAAAGCGAAAGTAGGAGCGAAAGTACACAGTGCAGCTGCAATAAAATGTAAGGCTCTCTCTTTCATTACAGAGGAGCTGTCCCGCTTTGGTCGCGGATCCCACTTACTAGGGACTAACCCCACTTTGATCGCGGATCCCACTTACCTGGGACTAACCCTGCTTTGATCGCGGATCCCACTTACCTGGGACTAACCGGTGCACCACCCCTGACTGTTGAAAGTTCTGGTTCCCGGGTTTCGGCACCACTTGTCGCGACCCCTTGCCCGCAAGGAAGACGCAACTCGAGAATCTTCTTTCAACAGTTTATTCAGGCCCTGGATATTTCTTCTTCTCTCTCTCGGATGCCCCTCCCAGCCTTAATAAAGCATCCCAAGCCCCAATGCAAAGCTGCCGCGTGGAGCTTTCTCACAGGGTGATGTAAAATCATGTGCCAACTTTCCTAGATAAGGAGTTGTTTGTCACAGACCACAGCGGAGCCAGCGTCATCTTGTAATGGCGACCATAATCTGCAGAAACGGCAGAAGCGGCTCACCACACTTTCTCACATGACTACAATGAAAACAAAAAAATAGTGAAATTAACATTTATATATGCTACCATATAGTACATAGATACCATTTAAATTTTACTGATTGATTTGATAAATTTATTAGTAGAAAAAATACTTTTTCCCTTGTATCCTTTTCTTTTTTGTTCAACATCTGATTCAGTATCATACATTACATTTACCTGTCATACCTCTTTAATCTCCTTCAATATGGAACTTTTTCTTAGTCTTTCTTTTTCTTTCTCATTTTTGACATTTTGAAATGTTAGTCAATTTAAGTCTAATGTTTCTTGTTGGGCAAGATTCAGGTTCTGTATTTGGATCAGGAATACCATAGAAGTGGTACTTCTTTTTCATTAGTATATAATATCATAATGATTTTTCTCCTTATGATGATGTTAAATATGTTATGATATTTTTATCTTTTTTTCTTTTGTATTGGGGAATGAACTTAGAGGTACTTCATCACTGAGCCACATCTCCAGTACATTTTATTTTTTAAATTTTGAGGCAGGTTATTGCTAAGTTGCTGAGGTTGGACTGAAACTTGAGATCCTATGCCTCAGCCTCCTGAGTCACTGGGATTATAGGTGTGTACTACCATTCCCACCAGTGATGTTAATTTTGGTCATTTTGTTAATATGATGTCTACCGACTTCTCCAATTATATAGTTGATTAGTAAGTATGTTAGTTAATACTTAACCAATATATATTTTATTGGTAGGTATTTTTAAACCATGTGGTATTGTTTCTTTTAACACTTGTACCTGTTATTTTTAGACAATTGATGACTCTCAAATTAATCATTTATTACTTTGAGGGTTGCCAAATGATGGTTTTGTTATTGCACCATTTTTTCCATGTAAATTATTTTTAACATTTTTATAGTAAAGTTATCCTTTTATTCATTCATTATTAATTTATTCACAAATAGATAAAGCATAGCATACCACAGAAAATATTGAGTGTAAGTGGCAAAGACAGACCTCTTGCCTTTTTTCCTAATCTTAATGGGAGATCTTTTGTTTTCCACCATTAAGGATAATACTACTGATCTGGGTACATGGCTCAGTGGTACAGCATTTGCCTGGTATGTAAGAGACTCTGGATTCAGTTCCCAGCACCAGGTGCAGGGAAGGTTGATAATTTTTTTCATAGATGCCCTCTATCAGGCTGAGGATAACTGCTGAGTTGTTATTGGGAATGAATGTATGTTTTTGTCAAATGATTTTTTTCTAGACTTATTGTTTTTCAACTTATGTAGATGGTTAATACAGTAAATCCCATTGCTTTATTTTTGTATGTTAATTCAGCTTTGCACCCTGGTGTAAATTATACTTGGTTAGAGTATTTCATCTTTTTGATCCTTTGTTGGATTTAATTTTCTGAAATTTTGTTAAAACATTTTTTCTCTATGTTCAAAATAGATATTGTCCTGTAATCTTCTTTCCTTATTATTTTCCTGATTGGTTTATCAACATTAAACTGGCTTTATAAGATGAGGAAGTATTCTTCATCTTAATTTTATGGTAAATTTATATGGTATTGTTATGCTTTTACTCCAATGTTAAGAAGGATCTTTATAATTCATAAGGTAACTTTGAGTGAGAAAATTGTTGCTCTTCCTATAGCAATAAGGCCTATTTCACTTGTCTCCAAACTTTTACATAGGGACTGACTTTATTAGAGTCATTTGGGAATCTTCAAAAATAAACAAATCTTTCCCTACACTCTTCTCACTTATAGGCATTTTTCAATATTCAGATTAATTAAGGATAAGGTGTGACCCAGGAATCTGTATAAAAAGCAAATGAAGCCTCCCACTCTCAAGGTGATTTGGAAGTATAGGGAAGTTGTGCCAATATTTCCTATACTTAACTCCAGAGCCTTCTTAATTTTTCAGAAAGACTGCACATTTATTTATATATCTTGTCTGACTTACCCTCTTGGTTTTAATAATAATTGAATGGCTAGATGAGAGGACATAGAGAAGTTTTGGAAGATAACATGTTGGAAGGAGTTTCAGTTCTGCCTTTGAGAAATACAAGAGTAAACTTCTTCTGACATTCAAACTGAAGACCCAATGTAGGATTCTCTTGCTTCTAATTAGTGTAAAGCACATGAGAGTTGGAAATAAATAGGTCTACTTTTCGAATGTACTTAGATGCTTGAACAAATCTGTACATACTGTAAACCAATTTTGTCATGAATTATACTTTCCTCAAAGCCTTCTTTAAAAGAACAATAAACTTTTAAAATACTTCAATAAGTCTTTATTTGGAATAAGCTGGATCTCAAGTAAGGTAACTGTGTTTTAAAAATCATATTCTTTTCCTTTTAGTATTTGGTAGTTAATATTGGTTTCTAGCAGTATCTTTTATTTTGTTTTTAGAATTTGGGATGAAGTTTACATAGCAGATGATGAGCCATTTAAAATGTACAATTTAGTGGCATTTCTTCCACTAAACATTTTCTGTTGTATGCTATATAGATTGGCATTTCTTCCATAGATTCCACAATTTATAGTTGTGCTATTGTGAAACCATCATATGTGTGTGTGTGTGTGTGTGTGTGTGCACGCACGTGTGTGGTTGTTTTTTTTTAGAATTTTTTTATTTTATTTGTTCTTTTTAGATATACATGACAGTAGAATGTATTTTGGCATACTATACATACATGGAGTATAACTTATTCTAATTAGGATCCTATTCCTGTGGTTATACATATTATGGAGCAACCCTGCTTGTGTATTCAAACACAAGGCTAGGCAATTTATGTCCGGTTAATTCTACTGTCCTTCCTATCTGCCCCCTCCTTCATTCCCCCTTGTCTAATCCAATGGACTTCTATTCTTCCTTTCCCCATCCTCCCTTGTTGTGGGTTAGAATCCACATGTCAGAGACAATATTCAGCCTTTGTTTTTTTAAAGATATTTTTTAGCTACACACGGACACATTATTTTTTATTTTGTTTATTCATTTTTATGTGGCGTTGAGGATCAAACCCAGTGACTCACATGTGCAAGGCAAGTGCTCTGCCACTGAGCCACAACTCTGGTCCCTCAGTCTTTGTTTTTTTTTGGAAGATATTTTCTTAGAAAAAATTTCTTCTTTGTTCTGCACACTCTCTCATGTATCAATTATTTATTCAGCATTTTCTATTTCCGACGTGCTGTATATTTCATTTAGCTTGTATGATCATTTAATTTAATCCTTATGGAAATTCTATGGAGCCAACTTTTTAAGTCATATTTTGTTAATGAGAAAACATGCTCATGGAATTTAATCAATTGTTTAAGATGATTCAGTTAGTAAGAGATGGAGCATGAAATAAAATTCAGATTGATGTGAATTACAACTCCATACTTCTAACCCAGAAAACATTTTGATTTCATAAGAAATTAATAATAGAAGCTAAATAAATTTCATTCCTTCTGACTTTATGGGACTTCCTATTTTATGAAAATATTTAGTTAAAAATATGTATCTTCAGCTTTGCGCAGTGGCAGTATCGTAGCCAATGAGGTTTATCCGAGGCGCGATTATTGCTAATTGAAAAATATGTATCTTCAAAGATGTAATGAGTTCCTTGAAGGAAGGGAAACTTTTTGTTAGTTCAAAAATTAAAAATAGTAATGAAATCACAGAATTATAACATCAAATTTATTTTTCATCTTGGATTTAACATTTTAGATATTAAAATATTAACATTATTAGCATATTATCTATGTGCCTTTTAGCATTTGATGTTAAGCATTAATACTTATAGAAAAGCAAATCAGAGCCTATGCAATACTGAGTTTTGGCCCTACTTATTTATAGTAATGTCTTGTATTTTATTAACAATATATACAGGGAAAAATCACATCTTGTAGGGGAAGTTAATTTTATACTTCAACTGAAGTGCTTCTATATAAACAAAATAATTCATTATTTTAAGACTGTCAAAAGTTGTCTTAGAGCTTGTCAAAAAGGAAACTCTCAGAATCCAGAGATTAGCTGTTTGTAGTAGGAGAGAGAAGTTGAGTTGTGTGTGGCTAGTAAAGGTGATCAAATTTAATATATCACTTGGATGACATTCAAGATTGGTGCTGCATTCTACTGTATAAAATCATGATACCATATTTCCTAAGTTTTTAAATATAGCAGAATATTTTAAGAGATCCAAATTAAATTACATTCTGTGGTGGGGAAGGGAGTTCACTCAATTTCTCATTTCTAAATTAAAATAACTTTATGTGTTTGCATATTTGTTTACTTGACTAATATTTATGTTTTTAGGAAGTTTGAGTCATTGTAAATATTGTTTTTCATATTCCCTTTCATTTAATCCTCACAATAATCCTTTATAGTAGCTATTATTAGTCTTTCCACGTGACAGGAGGACTTTTGACTCATCCAAAGCATTAAGTAGTTATTAAGTAGTTATCTTAGATTCTTTTAGACTCAAAGAGATAAAACTAGGGCTCAGGCCATCACAGTCAATGGCATAAAATAACTGGGTCACATCACTACCTGAAACATCCTTTGCCCATCCACATTTCTCATATAACACTGACACTGAATTTAGTAGAACCAACCTAAACAACCTCACTTTGGTTGCACATAGGGCACTTCCAAATGTGAAACTATTTTGTCAGATACTCTGCCAATAAATCTCAATTAGCATATTTAAACAGCACATTTAAAAATATTAGCATAAGTTTTTCAAAGGGAACTTCAGGAACCAAGAGTTGATCAACACTTTCCACAGGTTTATCATAATGCTTTCATTTTTCTCAGATAGGTCTCAGCAATGAAGAGTGAGCCAAGTAGGAATTACTCAGAATTGACAGAGTTTATTCTCCTCGGATTCAGGACATCTCCAGAAGTACAGGTTTTCTTATTCTTACTGTTCTTGCTTATCTATCTGGTAATTGTATTGGGAAACATCAGCATGTTAATCGTTATTAAAATCGACTACAGACTTCACACACCTATGTATTTCTTTCTTAGAAATCTATCTTACTTAGATCTCTGCTACTCCACAGTCATTGCACCCAAAACTCTGGCTACTTTCTTGTCCAAAGAAAAGAAAATTTCCTACAACGGGTGTGTGACACAGTTCTTTTTCTTTGCCCTTTTTGTTGGGACTGAAGGTTTCCTTCTGGCTGTGATGGCATATGATCGCTTCTCAGCCATTTGCTCGCCTTTCCTCTATACTGTGCGGATGTCTCAGCAGGCTTGTGTCCGCTTGGTGCTTGGATCCTACATCTGCGGATGCATCAACTCCATGATACAAACAGGTTTCACCTTCAGTTTGCGTTTCTGTCAAGAGAACAGACTGGACCACTTTTTCTGTGATGTCCCAGCCCTGATCAAGATCTCATGCGTTGACACCTTTGTGAATCAGATTGTGCTGTTCGTGCTCTCTGCTGTCATCATCATCACCACCACCACCGTCATCCTGGTTTCCTATGGGTACATCCTCTCCACTGTCCTCAAGATCCCCTCGACCCAGGGCAGGAGTAAGACCTTCTCCACGTGCAGCTCTCACATCACGGTGGTGAGTTTATTCTATGGAACTGTGTTCTTCATGTACGCCCAGCCTGGGGCCATCTCCTCACCAGAGAAAAGCAAGATTATAGCTGTATTCTATACTCTTATCATTCCTATGTTGAATCCTCTGATTTATAGTCTAAGGAATAGGGAAGTGAAAAATGCTCTGAAAAGGATATTGTTGACAAAAATGCCTTTTTATTAACTTTCAGCCATCTATAAAACTGTAGAGTCTACTAAAAAACAATATTAGCAATAATTTATTATTAAGCAGTTTGAATGAATGGCATCTAAAAGTTTTGGAGGTAAACATTTATTTTCATTTTTCAATTGTCCATAGGGCTTTTAAAATTGAATTTAAAAATCAATCGGTATTTAATATTTCTACATAATTATTTTATAGTGTGATATCTAAGTATTACATAGATTCAAAACTAAAATACAGTAATACCAAATTAATACACATATTAAATTGATTAATAAAATATATGTATTTGTATGTTATGAACATCTATATTTCATCTGTCTATCAAGAGGAAAAGAGACATTATAGAATGTTCTATGTTCTTTGATCATTATTGTTTGGCATAGTCCAATTTTTGCAAATCAGAATTAGAAGAGCTATGTAAAGTAAGTTATTGTCTTTGACAAATAATCACACAAAAGAGTAGTGCCAATTTTACATTAGTAATATTGTTAAGTCATTCAAATATTAAAGATCCCATTAAGAAGAAAAAAATAAGTTAATGTGGGGGCTGTTGTAAAGCTATATTGTCATCAAGGTCTTAATAGATCTTAGTTAAATGGTCAGTATTACTTACACTTATTTAGTTTCTTTTTATGTTCCCGTATCATTTTCACAATTTGTATATTAATTTAAAATCCTTATTTTTTTCTAGATTTGAAAACTTATTGCCACAGAGTTACAATAACTGAATCCTTTCCATCTCTGTGGTTCTACATGTATTCCGTTTTTAATTCTGATAGTTTCATCCTGGTTTTGCCCCTTAGTTAGACTTGCCTCAGATTTGACTTTCTGTCATTAGAAATTTGAGTTTCATGTCATATAATTATAATGCACTAATTATAAACAATAATAATAGAAGTGCTGTCAGTAAAAGAGGGCAAAGGGATTGGGAGAAGGAGTAAAAAAGGGAAGGGAAGGGAAGTTATCAGAGAATGTGATCAAACATATGTGCATGTTCAAATATGGAATACCGAATCCCACTATTATGTATAATTATTATGCATGAATAAAAGTAAAATTTTAAGAAGTATTTTATGGTGTGACATCTTGTTATTACAGAGTCTTTATGCTTTATTTTGCTTAAGAATATTCAAAATTGCAACATAAAACATTACAAATTAATATATATATATATATTAAATTTATTAGTATAATATTGCATGTACGTCTGCATACCCTTGTAATTTATTTTTCTAAGATCTTCTGGTCATTTTCTGAATTTATGTGCTGAATGCTTAGTGACATTATTTTCAGTTTTTATTTTAATGAATTATGTTTTATAATCTTTTTAGAGTTTTCAGTGTAATTTATTTTAATTTTTACTATTATATAAATTAATTTTTTTATAAACTTAATATTCTCTTTTAACCAAGCTTTACTTAGATGTGGTTTCTTGTTTCAATAGTTTACTTATTTAGTCAATCTCTTCTCTTGTTGACTTTTAGTTTTATTATAATAAATTCAGAGAATTGAAACACAAAACACCTTTTGGGTAAATTATTATACCAGGTAGACATTGAAGGTTTATTATTAGAAAATACGTGGTCGTATTTATGATATTAAAATATTTTAGAAGGATTGTCTCAGTAGCTACAGATAGAGCATTTGATAAATTTTAACACCATTCTGTGAGGAAACAAACATATGCAAACTGAATGGGCACATATTCTAAACAGGTAAGTATTAGAAATATTTACCTTAAAATTAGGAAAGAGACAAAAATACCCATTACCCTTGATGCATTTTCATATTCTATCAGAAATCTAAAAGTGCAATATGATAATAAGTAGAAATTAAACATACAAGGGATCAGATGTGGGATTAAACTATCATTTACATGACCATTTAGGGAAGAGCTTATGACAATGTCTGGGTTAATGTACAAAAGTCATTTTCATATCTATACAATAGCAGCTAAAAGATTACAATATTTAATTTAAAGATTTTACCATTTGTTGCTGTTTAAAGCTTATCAAAATTTTAGGAATAATTTAGCAAAATATTTGTAGAAACCCTATGTGGAAAATTATAAAATTCATTAGTTCATGTTATTGCATATATTGTTCAAAAATTAGAGCATCAACCATGTTGAAAATATATATACATATGAATATATTAAATTAAGATAATTTTGCCTATCAAAGGATGCTTTATAGGAAGTAAAAGTACAAAATACAACATGAAAGAATCTGTTCACAGCTCATGCAACCAATAAGATTAAATACTGAACTTCTATAAGTTTATAATAAAGACACAGCCAATCAGCATAAAATAGTACATTTGGGAATGAAAAATAAATTCTGATGTAATTTAAGTTTCCTTAATAACTCTTGATGTTCAACATATAATTATAGGAAGTTTATATATTTATTTTGATGGCATGTATATTCAAATTGCCTTTGTCAAATTTCATTGCATTGATCATTGTTATTTACTGAGATTTTTAAATTTGTTTGTTTTTTTTATGGTACGTTGGATTGAACACAGTGGTGCTTAACCACTGAGACACATCTATACCCCTATTTAAATTTTTTTTTTTTGAAACTGGTTTTCGCTAAGTTGCTCAGGGCTTGCTAAGTTGCTGAGGCTGACTGTGAACTTGTGATACTCTTGCCTCAGCCTCCCAAACTGCAGGGATTACAGGTGTGTGCCACTGTGCCCAGCCTGGATGATACTTTTAATAAGGATACGTGATTTGCAAATGTTTTATCTGGCTATGTTAGCTTTGATTATTTTATTTATTCATTTTTTGGTGATGTTGGTGTTTGAACCCAGGGTCTCACATTGCCAAGAAAATACTCTACCACTAGGCCACATACCCAGCCCTCTTTTAATTACTTTA